TCGCATTGTGAATCATTACCTATTCTATTATTGTCCTTGATTATAAATTAAAAATTAAATAAATTGGTTGGCAGGAATCTTCTAAAAATTATTGCAACTTGGAGCAGGTCGCTAAAATTGGTTTGTATTTAAAGAATATTTTGGTCAATAGATGATTGCCTGAAACTGTAAAGGCAAGTTAGAAATCAGTTAAATCTTTAAAAAACCATGGAACCAAACTAAATTTAAATTTATATAACTATAATTTTCAAGAGAAAATGTTCAATATGCATTACTGTATTGCAGTAATAAAATTTACCAAGACTCCATAATTAAATTTTCGACTTTCAACCTTTATTTTCAAGGTTTAGAAATTTTACCAATAGTGTAGAGAGTTTTCGAAAGAAACTTAATTCAAATTCTGTCGATTAACTGATATTTTCATGAAACAGCATCAATGTGAACACAAATAATTAAAAAATCTTTTTCGGTGAACAAATTTAAAAAATTTCCGCTCTCACATACGCAAGCATACAAGCAACTTTTTTTTAAAGATCGCTCACCACTACGAGTTAGTTTCGCTCTGCTGGTTTTTCGGACCAGATAAATTTTGCGAGGTCACTTGGCGATCAAAGTGTAGGTGAATCGCCAGCATACCCAGATTTTGATTCCCTGTGCAACGTGAAACCTTGGTATCGACGCTCCGAAGTGAGCTATATTCCACTTAACAATTTTAGCGTCATTCGTCGACACTATTTCCCTGCGAATGCCTGATGCGCCGACGAACTATTTTCGATTCTCGGCTCATTCTTAACCACACCACTGAAGCACCAAACAAAAAAGCATGTAATTAAATTACTAAATTTTTTGCAAACCTGCAGAGGATAGAGTAGCTGAAGGGCATTCAATTCCGGCTGAGATTAAGTTTCATAAGTCTAATCCCAGTACTTTGAGTGAGTCTGCCGTTAAAAGTATGATCTAGATAGTACTGAAGGTTATCTGTGGCCTTAAGTGATTAGTCAAAAAGTCATCATCTTGTTCATATTTTCTATTAATTAGTGGGCCAGGAAAAGCAGAAATGATTAGTGCTAAAAGAAGAAAAGAGAAATAATTCATATAACAAAAAATTTAAATCTTTTATTCACCAAGGATCAAAAACTTTTTGCTAAAAAAAATCTATATGTTAAAGAAGCAAAAATAGGCATCATTAAGAATTATAGATTCAGTGAATATTTAATCAAAAATTTATGTTAGTGGTGCTTACATCCGAATCATCAAAAAAAATATCGTTAATTCCTCATTTGAGATTTTGAAATTATTCGACGCACGATGATCAAATTATTTATCGCCGACCGATGATTTTACGATTTTCATTTATTCTATAATATATTTTCTCTTTTCCTTCATGTTTCTTCTTATTATCAGAATGAAATTTACTTAACTGTTTACTTTTAAAAACGCTTATAAACATGGTTAGAATGATAGAGTGGGTGTCGTTCAGATTCCCTTGTTGTGAATCAAGGATTTAAATTTCGCCTTATTGGAGTGAAACTGTCATTAAAAATTTGGATGGTGCTTGTCGCCAAGTGCCACTCTAGCAAAAATTTCAAATATCTTAACCAGACCTGGTAACCGTTAACCGCTTATACTTCTGTTTAGTTATCTATGCCTATATCAGTAATGTCACCTTCTTTAATTTCTAAATGATAATTTTTTTTTGACAATCTATTTGATCGATAGTTGAAAACTTCATTTTTTGAGAAAATTCCTTTTTTATTCCTTATTCCTTTTTGTTAACTTATTTTGCAGCAGTTTAATTTTTAATTTCCTAATAAACAAACGAAGAAATTAGCGAAGAAATGTAAAAAACGAAGAAATCTAAAAAAAATTGAAAAATGCACCATCATACCAAAAGATTTCAAGAAAGACGGTTAGAATTTGCCACTTAGAGAAAAATTGAAGTGTGGTCAATGAGAATAAAACAATTTTTTAGTGAAAAATGGTGGGGAGTAATTGGATATGTATTGGATATCTCATCAGCTAGGAATCAGAAAATGGGAAAAAAATCGTAAAAAATTGGATAGCAATCGTTAAACAAGGGACCGAGAATTAAGAGATGCCAAATTATTATTATTTTATTCGCAGTTTGAACCAGCTGATTATTTGTTTATTCGTCGAGTGAATAAAATCTCACAAGATCGCATCCACCTTCGTTCAAATACCATTTGCATAAATGTTATCACAGAGCGTCGTCTTCGGTGGTTAGGGCACATTCTCCGTTGTCCACCACAAGAGTTGTCGCATATTTCGCTACTTGCTAAATCGTGTGATGAGTGGCGTCAAAAGCGAGGAGGGTCAATCAAGACCTAGACTGATACAGTTCGGAAAGATTTTGAACGTATAAGAGGACCAGCAATATATGGACTTAGCCGATGGAAAAAGGAATGGCATCCATTACTGTCAATAATGGCATCAGACCGTGCCACTTGGACAAGTCTTACCCTTGTAGCCATTGAAGCCAGCGTAACCAGTAATGGTGAAAGCTGTTAGAGGAAGAAGAAGAAGTTTGAACCAGCTTTCGACTCTTTATCAAATTTTTTAATGCTTTTTAATGCATTTCGCTAAAATTAATTTTAGCTGAAAAAGTTGCATTGGATGAATAATTACTGTTGATTGTTGTGTTTTTCACGTATTTTTTGCTATTTTTTCTATTTATCTTTCTTAGTTTATAGAAAAAAAAAATTATTTTTTCTCCGATGGAGTTTATTTTATTTATCATTTCAAATCACATTTAGTGAATTTTGAATAATTTATTTGAATTATTGATTTTCAAATTTCCAATTTTCTTTTAAAACAATTACTTGCAAAATTAAAATAAGTTATTGTCAATAAAACGCTGATAAATTTTCAAAATCTTTTTCAGCTACAAAAATTTTGAAATTTTCCATGCTTCGCTAAACTAGTAATGAATGACCCAAAGTATGATTAATAAAATTTTTTATGACATGGATTCACAAATATTTTGCTTTAATCTCTCCTTTTTCGTAATTTATTTTTGTTGCGGCATTGCGCTCTCATTAATCGGTTACTATTGCAATTTCCATTGTACGTAACATACTGAAGTTTCATTTTGAATAATAATTTTGGCTAAAAAAAGGACTTGATATAAAACATACCTTTTCGTCGGATAGTTCACTAATAATTAAAAACAGAAAAAAAAAGTTTGAAGATGGCGAGTGAATTTAATGATAGGTACTTCCGTCAAGTGTGAGAAGCAAACCCACGCTGCTTGGCATCAATCGAACAGTTAGCAAAGAAATGAATTATTTAAATTAGATACCGTAAATTCTGTCAGAATTAATAAGAAATCGCTATAAATCCTTGTTCGGATGAATTTTGGATAAATTTAGGATTGCGAACAATTGTTTGAAGAAATCAGTAAAGAATGAATTAATGATTATATATTATTTAAGAAAATAGTGATCTGATAAGGCTTAATTTGATAGGGCAAATTACAACAGGTAGCGCGTAATTTTATTTATATCAATGAATTCTTGTTTTTCAGTGAGATTATTTCAGCTTTTATCGTTTTACTGTATGTAATACATTTTCTCAGTTATAAATTTAAAGGCATGGATATATAGACAGAAATATTTTAAATAAAGCCATGCAATGGCACCCATGGGCCAAAAAAACTTTTTTGGCTTCTATGGCTATTAGGGTACATTTTCAATATATCGAGCATACATGTTTTATTGAGATAAAAAAGCCAACAAAAATCAAAGAAAAGATAAAAAAAATCGATCTGAAAGCAGATAATAAAATGGATGGTGCCTCTTCTTCCTCCAACAAATTTCTTTGCGGAGAGATCGCACCTTAACAACCAGTAAAACCGGAAAGGGCGAATGCTTTTAAATATATATGAAGATGGTTAGTGATAAAGTGATAAACCAAGGCGAATTTCACAATGAATATAAATGGAAATGGATTTTTGATTTTCGTTTTTTTTACAGTTGGATTTTTTCCACTTTTTTTGCATTTTTTATCATTTTTTAAATGAAGTTCATCAAATTTTTAAACGACCATGAACTAATGGCTTACTAAAGAATAAACTAAAGAATAAAATATTTTTTATACTAAATGTCGTGTTGTTTACAATTATTATTAAACAGAGGGTTAAGATTTTACGAAACAATTTTGTTAATCTTTCATTACAGTTTTCTTCGACAGCTTTTTCTAAAAACAGCTTATTTCAGCCAAGTTTTGATTTACTTTAATAATCCACTGTACAAAAAATTTTTTTGAATGAATTGACTCCTCAAACAAAATTGCGCAAAAATTCAGCCATTTAATGGAAATTTAGCGTGGAAAGGATAAAAATTTTATAAAATTTAAGCACCAGATTTACCAGATTTTTCAACGTTATTCCAGTTTATCACTGTTGTTTTTTAAGTCATTTTTTAAAGATTTTTTTCAAATTGGAAGTTATGTCTTGTAAATCGAAGTTATTTATTTATTTTACTTCTTATCATTGAGATCCACTTTTTAATTTTTATTTAAATATTCGATGATCAAACTTTATATCCATTTTTCTGAATTTTTCTAAATGGCTTAATTTGACTGGTCAATTTATCTAAAAATTTAACGAAATCCTGAAAAACCTTTTTTTTAATATAGAAAAACTTAGAAGAATTCAGATTTTTACAATTTTTTGCATTGCCCAACTGAAATATTTTGATTTCATACGGCTCGCATTTTTAAATGTTTAAATGTTGCCTTTATCATAAGTTTTTAGAATTACTATAAAGTTGCATTCCCTAAAAGATTCAATACTTTAAAACTGGATTATTTGAAGGATAACATGTCGTGCGAGCAACCGATAAAGCCGTATAAGAATTATAGCCAATATATCAATATATAAATTCTAGCCAATATTTATAGTAAGGCAAATCATTTAGATGGATGCGAAGATTTTACAAAATTTCATTATACAATTGCTTAGTTCCAAAATCTGAAGGTTCATGGATTCCTTGACTACTCTGATATGTACATTGATTATGTTTGAATATGCAGCAACATCTGTTTATAAAATAGGTGAGTGAAACAAACAATTTCTGTTTTTTTTTATTTTTCTTATTTAGAATTGAATTGAATTCAGAATGTCATTTTAAATTGAAATATGCGGATGAAACAGGTACGATATCAGCGATCGGCAGCATCCAGTATCAAAATTTGAAATATTCAATAAACAGCTGGAACCATGATAACACATTTGAAAGTGGTATTAGTCTCGAATTAATTGGTGGAATAGCTGCAGGCTTTGTCGATGATCGAGGTTTTTTCATATAATTCTATTATAGGGTTTTTTAATATAATTTTATAACATTTGCATTTGTTTTTTCATATTTAATTTATAATTTATAATGTACAAAATGATAAGCGAGAAAATACTCTTTTATAATGGCTTGAATTTTTTTCGTTCAAGATTTGTTTCTCTTTTGGTGATGCTTAGATATTGCAGTCTTCTTAGTCGTCTCATCGTGGTTGCCGTGTGACTGTGGGGTACCAAGGCAATTGTAGTTAGACTGTAGCCTATTAACATATATTAATGTGTATTTGATATGTATATTAATAATAATGTATATAATGTATTAATGTATTATATATATATATATATATATAATCATTGGTAAGCAAAGAATGAAAAAGGTGAGAATCGATCAAATATTCGAATATTCGAATATGTGTATATATGTTACCATTTTAGTTGTTTTTGGGTTATCCTCCATTTTCATGCACATGGACTTTACGTCGAACTTCGTTGGCTTTATCCATAATTGACATACTATTCTTTCGTGAATTTTCAGCAGTTTTCGTTTAGACATGTAAAAACAAATCATTAATATCCAAAAGGTGGTATTCTCGAAAGACGGTTTTCCAAGGGTTTATTTGGTATTTCGACTTAATTATTCTATACGTATATATGAATATCAATTCTTTGCTTATATCTTTCATTCTTCAACTTTCATTTATATTATCTTCCTTTGCTTTCTTTTTGCCTTCGACACCCTCATATGTCTTAAAACGAATGAAAATTCCGAAAGCACTGCCTTTAAATGGTGAAACCGCAAACGGCTCATTACAACAGCTATTATATATTGCTAAAAAACATTTTCTAACTTTTTGAATTATTTTAGACTAGACTATTGAATTAGACTATTTTTTAAATTATTTGCAAATGATGAGAGTCTGTGTACTAAGTATTGTTATCTACAAAAGTTATGAAATCTCTGCAAATGAAATTATGTGGCAGTCCTGTGCTCTATTTAATTCAGTCAGTGAATTAAGGTTCCACATATTTTTTATAAGAGAATCGGCATTTTAGTCAACAATAAATTAAATAAAGAAAAAAGGTTGATTTGGGTGCCAAAAATTCTATTGATAAGTGGTATATATTTGAATAATTACGATGTGTTTTTTGACATCGATTATTTAATTCAATATTACGAGCCACAGGCACGTCAATGATCCGACAAAATCATTCTTTTCACACTTGCTTTTTTAAAAAAATAAACTGTTTTATTTTGGCCAACAAAAGTTTTATTTTGAGTTTTCGAGCTAGCAATATAATACTGAATGACCCTACCCTTATAAGCAGTCATCTAAAAATCTTTGAAAATCACCTGCAATCTTCGGTTCCGTAGACCGAATGAGGGCCTTTCCTGCCTGTATCTGGCAGGAGATATCACTCGGGATATACAAGAAGCCCAGGCGTTTGCCACTATCGGCATGACAGGTTCTCGGCCTGCCAAACCAAATAATATTGAACATAGCGATTTGAAGCTAGAAAACGATTTATTTTTTCCATGTTTTGCGATGCTATTTGCATTAAAACATACTTTAATACTCATTATTACTGGTTAAATTCTTTCCTGTCGTGCAAGACAAATAGCATCGCAAAACATGGAATATGCCAGGGAGTCCTTTGGCGATAGAAGCACAAGTGAATTCGCCAGCATTATCCTGATTTTTGGACAGGTTTACTCTTGTGGAGAATTGAGTTTCAGCATCAGCGTTTCGAATTTTTGCAAATTTACGATTCTACCATTTAATTGAACCATTATTACTGAATTCTTAGTTTAAAACCATTCTATTTTTGTTCATTTAGCGCATTTAGTTCAAATTGTAAGCAAAGAATATATTAAGAGTACAGATTCAAAGAATAAATAAATTTATTAAAATTAAATCCGTAAATCGGTAAATTGATGATTTCTGGCAAAGCTTTAGTAGGCACTTTTTTCATAAGCCATCTAATGTTTTTCAGTTTGTGACATATTACAAAGCGAAATTATTGCCATAGTTGTATTGAATGAATTAGACAAATTTGATACAAAGTTAGTCGAATCGATGTGTTATCACTTTCATGTTCCTTGCTTATCGCTTATCAGATATTCGCCGCTTGACAATGGTTTATTTACTTTGTTTCCTTTTATTTAAATATTAATTTAAATAATAAACACATTCATTTATTTACTTATTTCATTAGAAAAAATGAAGACATAAAACAAAAAAAGAAATAATGTAATAATATCAATTTCTCATCTTGATAAACATAGGAGAAATTTCATGAAATATTTTAAAAGCTCCAAACGAAGATATTCGATTTCTTTGATATTTCTGTCCATCTACTTTGCATATACGCTGCGAGACGCTATCTGTAGCAGCGTCATTGTTTACTCGTCTCTACTATTCATCTACTCTTTATTCAAATATCATGTCGTCTTTTTTTCGGGAGGCCGCTTTTCTCACTTGTGTTTTCGAGCAAATTTTTTTACAAGAGAGTTACTGGCGATATCGTTGAGGCGCATCGGATAAGATGACTGTCACATCTGAAAAGGTTCAGTTCATTCTGATTGAATGGAAGCCGATTGACAACCATATAGCCCCTGCTTTCTTCAAAGGTAAATTTTGCAAAGTCTCGGTGTGTATGCGCAGATGATCGTGAGAGGTTCTATAATACGGAGCTTCAGTATCAGAAGGACTTAGGACATAGGGATACGTGTAGAACTCAGCGTTGTCATGGTTCTATGGTTCTATAGGCAAATATGGCTAAAGGGCTCGTTGTGCAAATGAAGAGCGCCTTCGCTTTGCTGAAGAGAATGGACTTCTAGCTACCAGTACATACTTTTTGAGAACATCTATTGTCACATGAAATTACTTAAATAGCAAACCAGATTGATTATATCGAAGTCAATCGTTGTTAGAAGAGTTCCATACTAGATGGCCATTCCTGTCGCTGCTTCTAAATTGGCTTCATGGATCAGATCATCTTATGTTCAAGATCAGTATGGAATTAATACTTGCAGGAAAAAGGATTTTCCGAAATATTTCAGCTATCTCAACCTAAAATATTTGGAGATAGTAAGAGCATTTCAAATATTATAAATATAAATTATATGAATATAAATATAAATATATTATATTATATAAAGAAAAATTATATACAACGGTACCTCTAGAGTGGCCATTGAATACTGGTCCCAAATAAAGGCGCATCTCGAAAAATCGGCCAAACAACTAAGAAACACTACTCATAAATGTCGAAGGCAACGGTCCAGCCGTTCGAAAAGGCTGCTAGAACACACATATCAACAGATCCCAACAAAACGAAATAGCTATTGGAGTAATATTGTATTAAATATAGAAACAGTTGCGCGATTTGATAATGAAAACCTTTTCACCTATTCCACCTTCATAAAGCAACCATAACCTGGAAAATGATCTGTGAAATGATCCGATCCGAGAATGATCTGAGAAAATGATACCTGTTACTGCCATCAAAAAAGTTATAGGTTACAGTTAAGCTAACCACGTGTTATCATGATATAACTAAAATTCATACTAGTTGAACCATATGTCTGCAACTGCGAGACCTTAATAGAGCAAAAAATAATCTCTGCTATTCAAGAGGCCGATAAAGTTATCAGAGAAAAGAGTTTTCAAATGTGATCTGCCGTGTTTCATAGTTTTATCTTCAATACTCTCTGGTATGGAAGAAAGAACTTAACAGATGACTGGAACAAAATAGACAGTTCTTAATTTCCAGGAAGAATGAGAAGACACGCTGCAATAATGTCGTGGAATTGACCTAATTAGATATTTCTGGAAAAATTTTCGCGTCTCTTTTATTTAATAGGTTAATAAAAATGCGAGACTGCAAGATGCGGAATTTAAATCAGGCCATAGGTATGTTGTTCATCTTCACACCAAGGAGGATATCGATTCAAATATCGATAATTGTAGCTGCCTTCAATTGATAGAACAGGCTTTGGAGGATGATGAAATGTGGCAGTGTTTGAAAGAAGATCATTCGACTCATAAAGGCATTTTATCAGTGCAATCAATAGAATGAACCAAACTTAGATTCAAAAATTAGATTCAAAAATAATATGAATAAAGATTTTTCATCGTAAGATATACCATATGATAAAATACTCATTTTTACCAAACTATTATCATGGGTCGGGGAACTAGACTTTAAATATCTCGGATCCACTCTTATATCAAATAGCTAAGCGAAAGAAGAAATCGAGCCCTGATAACCGCACCTGGAAATGCATTCGAACCTTTATGGAATCATCATCAAATAGAAAATTCATCTATCTAGCAGTGCGCTTTCTTATATAACTGCGAAACATGACCGATGAGAATGTAAGATACTTAACTAACTGCCTCTGACCAATTTTATCTAAAACATTTTTACAATGAGTAGGTGAAATTTAAATGACTACATTTCTTCACTCAAATATCACCTGCGTTCGTAATATCGTCACAAACATCGTCTAACGCTGGTTTTACGATGTTCTTCGCATCACAAAAATTGGCATATATTTTAAAACTTGCTAGGCTTTGTGATAGAATGCATAAAAAACGAGGAGGACCAGTCAAAGTGTGGACTGATGCAATCACAAGAGATTTTGAATGTATAGGTGGTCCAACGATATTTGCTTAGACGGTGGAATAATGATTGGTTTCTTTAATCTTAGGTGCGGCATTGGATGGAGTAGTTTAGAAAAACTTTTATTCTTCCAGTCAACGGAGCCAGCATGACCAATAATGGCTAAAACTGTTGAAGAAAAAGATGAAGATTCTTCCCAATCAAGTGAATCAAATCAATTAGCCATACATGATTTCGAAAAACTTTTAATACTCATTTCATTCTTTTACAATCGGGAAAACCATAAATATATAAAGTATCATCTTTTATATGATAAGCTCATTAATGTTATTTTATTAAAAATTAGGCAATAAATACGTTACAACGATTGGTCCACCAAAAGGTTTTATTGGCAAAGCAATTGCACAACTAATCATTGATCTAAAGTGGTCCTCTTTTCTCATCCTTTATAGTAATCCTAAAGGTAATTAACCTCATCTATTATTATTAGATCGACAGGAAAAATCAGTAGATTATTTTTCTTTTTATTTTTATTCAGATTTGCGAGGAAAATTCTATCAGTTTGAAAAATATTGAACATGACAAAATGATGAAAAAACAGAGATGATGAGGATAAGTTGTTCATGCCGTGATGTCTGTTATTTCTTTATTAAATAAATCTTAATTCATGGCGAAATATTAAGATTTAATGGAGATGAAAGAATTGCTAAATGAACGTTCGCTGTCGTATTCGCTACAAAAATCGGGTGCTATTATTCGGCAAATGCCGGAAAATACTGATGCTTACCACACTTTCCTCGAGGATATTCGTGAACTGGGAGAAACAAATATCGTGAATATTTTCTCTTTTTGCAATATTGAAAATTATTTCAAACAATTTAATAAAAAAAACTGACTTATTTCGAAGGCGTGGTTTCCATGAATTTTAGTTACCAAAAATTGAGTGAAAAAGTCTCGTAAATTGGTCGACCAGAAAATTTGCAATATTACTCGGCCTATTATTTACAATTCTTCCTTTTTCTTTTACTATTATTTACATTTATGAATGGACCGGCTGTTAGGAGAAATTTCTTTCGGAGTTTTTGAAGAAAAGATAAAGCATTGAACGACTTCCAAATCGCTCCAATGACAATTTTAATGGCAAACGCTCACTTTCGCGAAAAAGGTCGAATCGAACTTATGGCGCTGGAGCTCAATAAGATCAACAACACACTGTCAAGCTATTCTCTCTTTACTTTTAGGCTATTAATGAGTTCTTTTTGCCCCGCGGCTTCTTTCTACATGTGGACAAATAGTCGATGTTTCTTTATTTGATTTTATATTCATTTGAAAAAAAATTTGATTGCAGGTATTCTATTCAAAGGATATCGACTCTATAACCACATTTTTTAAACACGCAAAGAGAGCCAAATTGACTGAATCACGGTTTGAATACGTTCTTATGGATTTGGTTAGTTAATTTTTTGCAATTCTAACGAGCAACTTCTTGAATCTCTGAAATTTTTCTCAATATTAAGGATGTTCACCTACTTGGCGACTTTTTTACGAGTGAAGAAGGATTTGAATGCAATGTTACCAGTTTGCGAATTATTAAAACCGAGTCTCCAATTGAGGTTGGCTTAACCTAAAAAATTAACTTTATAGTTTAATGAAAGATATTGGCTATATCACAGTGGTGTCTCGGATAACTCGGGGCAAAATGGCGTAGCGATTGTCATGTCTGAAAAGGCTCGATCTGCTCTGAATGGAAACTAGTAAATGACGGTATGGCTTATGCACGTTTCAAAGGAAAAATTTTGCAATATTTCGGGATAAGTTCTATGCGGAAATTCAGCTGCTAGCACATCACTAACCGAGAGTTGACATGGTCATACTCGAGAGAGACTGGAATGCGCGCGTAAGTCATGATGCCGTTTCAAGGAACTCTGCGATTGGTAAATGTGGCATTGTGGCCCAATGCGCCAATGGAGAACGCCTTTTTCATTTTGCTGAAGAGCATGAATTTTTTGTTGCTAATAAAATAGTTACATGCTTTCGGCATTCGGCAAAATATCAATATCTACTTACGTGGAATTTTCTGATAATAACCAATCTTCTACCCAATCTTCCAATCAGATTGACTATATATTCACTCACCGCTGGAAGAGTTCTCTACTTGATAGTCGCTCTTATGGGGATGCTGAAACTGGTAACCGCCATGGATCAGATCATATTATGGTCCGAACCAAAATTTGTATAAAATTGTCAAGTCGTAAGAAACAGCGTATCGCAAGATCTTTCAACTATCTCAAATTAAAAGATCTGGAAACGATAAGCGCATTTCAAACTGCATTATTAAAACACCTCAGTGAAATGAATATCTCTGGAACGGCGAATGAATACTGGTCCCAATTAAAAACATGCCTACAAAAGTCAGCAATTTCCACATTAGAATATAGTAGTAGAAAGTACGCTAGTTGAGTGTCGGAAGCAGCTGTCCAACTGCCTGAAAAAGCTGCCAAAGCCCGAATATTTCAGGATCCAGATTATCGGGTGCTTCGAAGAATTACAAAGACAGCAGCACGGCGGGACAGAAATCACTATTGGAGCAATATGGCCTTAAGAATGGAGACGGCGAAGAATGCATGCGGTGCCTATTAAAACTGTTAAGGATCGCCTCAGAAGATGGAAATAGATGAAAGTTTTTGAGGCCAAACTTAATCACGATGCACCATCTGTTGTTCCGACTGATTTGCATGTCGAGCCGCCAAAAAAAGAGTTCTGCGTCCTTTCCTCCACAATAATCAACTATGCGATAGACTAGATAATAGGCATCGCTTGTCGGCAAGAGGTGTGCAAATTAATCCAAACCATAGCATCACAGACCTTGAATACGCTAATGATATGTAGTCCTTTTTGTTGACAATTATGAGGAAATGCAAATCATGTTAAAAAAAGTGTCAACAACTACAGTGAAAATTGGGCGCAAAATCAATGTTAATTAAAACGAAAGTATTTTCGCCTTATATACAAGATGCTGATAAAATACCTATTTTTATCAATTTATTGCCAGTTGAGGAATTGCTGGACCTTAAATACTTTGGATCCACTCTAATACCAAATGGCCAAGCAAAGGATGAAATTGTAACCTCGATTACTACAGCTAGAATAATGTGTTTCCAGTTGATGAAACTTTTATAGACCGTCCCGAAGTCACCATAAAAACGAAAAATCGCGTCCATATAGCTGCAATTTGCTTGTTCTTGCTATATGGCTGCGAAACATGGCCAATGAAAGTGGAAGATATTAAGAAGATATTAGCCTTTGACCACTCAGGTACATTTAAGGTACATTTTACGGATCCGGATCGGTCGAACGAATAAAATCGCATATGATTGTATCCACCTTTGTTCAAATACCATCTATATTAATAAGGTTATCACAGAGCATCGCGTTCGCTGATTAGGGCACATTCTCGTTCACCACAGGAGTTGACGCATATTTTGTTATTTGCTAAACCCTGTGATGATTGGCGTCAAAAGCGAGAAGGGCCAGTCAAGACCTAGAATGGTACAGTCAGGAAAGATTTTGAACATATAAGGAGACCAGCGATATATGGGCTTAGACGATAGAAAAAGGAATGGCTTCTATTACTACTAGCGATGGTGTCGGACTGAGCAGTTTGGAGACTTACTCTTGTAACCAATAGAACCAGCCTAATCAATAATGGTGAGAGCTGTTAGAAGAAGAAAAAGAAGATGGTTTAATGAAATTTCTAATATTTAAAGCTCAAAAATTGGAATTTTATGACCAAAATAGAATTTATAGACTGGATTAGGTTTGACAATGGATGCTGTCAGTGTTATTGGAACTACAATTTTATCGCTAAAAGCATCTGGCAATGAAATATTAACTTTTCCTCTATTGTGTGATGGAGGCTCTGTATGGAATGATGGTGAAAAATTAAATTCTGCAATAAATAATGTTTGTTTTCACTTGTGATCATGGTCTAGCATTTTATATGGCTCTAATACAATGCTGATGCGTAATTTCACACTTAAAAATTATATTTCAAAAAGCATCTGACAATAAAATATCAACTTTTCCTCTCTTTTTTCTTCCTAATCAATTGACAAGGAGAAACTGATTTTAAAGCCATTTTCTAGTGCCTACTTAAATCGTGATCATTTGGAAATCAAGTAGCTAAAAAAATGTGTTTAAGTTTTCCTCATTTTCCACTAATTTCTCCACTGTAACTTGGAAGTTAAAAATCTGATTGGAAAAATCAGCCAGAATCCGATGGTTGCTGAATCAATATGCTTCCAAGTGAAAAAAACCATTTCTTGACAATTTTTTTCCCCGAATGTGATAACATTTATTGCAAGTCTCCATGACTGAGCATTTTTTTGTAGGTTTTCCTTGAATCAGAAAGGTCTGGAATTTTACAGTTCGATAAAAATTATGAACGCTCTAAATTGATGGCAAGTGGATTTAGAATAATGAACGATGAGTTTACAATGGTTAGCTACTGTGAAGTTTATTTCGAAATAAATTTTTCTCCATGTTGAATAAGAAATAAAATTTCGTGGCAAAAAAATATATATTATAAATGCAAAAACATGCTTATATATTGAAAATGGTATATTTTTCTAATGATTAACCGAAAATATACTAATTAACCAAATTTTCTTGCTAAATATCTCGTTGAATTTTTTCATTGAATTAACTATTTGCTGATTTGTCATTCCACCACCAATTTCAATCTCGTTTATCTGGCAGATTTAAATTATTGTAGCTTGTTCATAATTAGATTTTTGCCGTTATTGTAGTATTGAATTAAACTAATTCTCCGTTGAGTTTGATTTCCAACAGTCCAGCACTATATCCATAGACTTTTTAAAAATTAAGACGGGATTTCCATTCCGCTAAATATAGCCAATTCAAGCTGTTCGGGCTTATAGTTTTTAGTGGTAAGCCTTAAGTGATATGCTGGCTTGTCAAGTAGCTTCAATCGTTATTCCACAATAAAGTTCATCAGAGTGATAATTGACCTTTTATGAGCGGTTGGCTCTTCCAACTGTTCTATTTTTTTCCTCTAACAGCCCATTACTAGTTAGGCTGGCTCTACCGGCTATAAAGGTAAGATGTTTCCAAACTGCGTGGTCTGATGCCATTGTCGATAGTATTAGAAGCCAATGTTTAGCAACTAACGAAATATGAGTCTCTGGCGATGGACAACGAAGAACATGTCCTAACCAAAGAATGCGACGCTCTGTGATGGTACTGTCAATGCAAGTAATATTTAAACTAAAGCGGATATAATCACGTACGATTTTACCGCGGACCCATAAAATATTAGACATGAGGCATATAATTTCGTAATATCCTCCACTCTTACAGCCAAGCAAGATCGAATTAATCGCGGCTATATAGACGTAGACTCCGTTTTTATGGAGATTTCGTGACAGCTCCATAAAGATTTCGTCATCGGAAGAACGCATTTCTAGCTGTCGTTGACCGAAATGTAATTTCTTTTGTCTATTCTTTTGTCTATTGTTTGTCTTTTGGCTATTCGGTATCCAAGATATTTAAAATCGGGCACCTCCTAAATTAGCAATGAGTTTGTAAAAAGAGGCATTTCATCAATTTTTTTTTTTTGTTTCTTGTAAATAAGATGAAAAGATTTTCATTTTACTTAGTTCCTGCCACAGTTTCTGATACTTTGTTTAGTATAATTTGTAATTTAGTATAATTTTCATCGTAATTTTCAGCAAAAAAGACTACATCATTAGCGTATTCAAGATCTATAATACCATGCTCTGAACTGATTTGCACACCTCTTGAGTGCCGAAGCAATGTCCAGTCTCTATCGCATATTTGAACATTATAAGGAAAAGAATTCAGCCTTGATGGACACCAGTTCTTATTTTGAAGAAGTCAGTTCTCCATATACCTGTGCCAACGTAATCTGATATAATGTCTTTATGAGCCCAATGATCTTTTCTGGAGCATCGTTACATTCCATCATGCTCCAAAGAACTGGTCTATCAATCGAAAGCAGCTGCAAAATCGATGAAACACATAACGATAGGCTGCCGATATTTGAAGCCATGTTTCATCACACTTCTTAGCTTGAATATCTGGTCAGCACCATTGCATTCAAATTTCCTCGATAATTATCACAATATGTCACCTCATCTTTCTGTGGAATTATTCCAGACATTGTGTCAAGAACATCAGACCCTTTCAACATATAGTCACTTAAAAATAAAGTTTCAGGTGAATCCCCAGCAGTTGCTCGGATTCTTGATATGAAAGGTTTATTCCTGACAAGGATAAAGTGGAAAAATTTTTTTAAAATTAAAACATCAAAAATTAAAATTAAGCAAAAAAGATCGTTTGAGATGTCCAAACAACGTATTATAATAATCAAAAATTATTATTATTATTTTCATTTATATTATCTTAATAGAACAGTTTATAATTCGGAGCGAAATGGCGATTGTTCTGGTAAGGCCCGATCCGCTTTAATTAAGTGGAAACCGGTAGGCGACCGTCTATGTCCTATGTCCGCTTTAAAAATGAGGTCTGCAATATCTCGGTTATCAGTATATGTTACGACTTTGTCTGCAGATGTCCGTGATAAAGATAAGTTCTATGCGGAATTTCAATTGCTAACAAAAGCTCTACTATGACATGGTCATAACTAGGGGAGATTGGAATGCGATGATGACGGCTGCGAGGTGGCCAATAAGAGTGGAGGATATTACGAAATTATCTGCCTTTGATTCGTGTCTAAATACATTTAATGGGTCTGCCCAGCGGATAAAATCGTACATGATTATATCCACCTTCGTTTATCACTTCACTTACACTAACAATATCACCTACACTAACAATACCATCATAGAGCCTTCGTTGGTTAGGGCAGACAATGCGTTGCCCACTGCCAAAGTTGATTTTTTTGATTTCTGGGAAAAAATATAACAAAAATTTGTCAGAAAAACTTTAAACTTTATTCAACTTTATGTTACTGCACTAATAGTAAATGGTCAGCACTCGCCATTTTTTGCTTACGATAGGTTCACTGGTTGCTAAGACAATGAAAAAATTTAAATGATATTTCGTTATTTGCTAAGCCTTGTGTTGTGTCCAAAAACGAAGTAGACCAATTGAGATCTGGAGTGACACGATGAGAAAAGATTTTGAACGTATAGGAGGACCAGCAATATATGGATTTAGACGATGGAAAAAGGAATGGCTTCTATTATTGATGATGGCATCAGATCACGCAGTTTGGAAATGTAGCTATAGAACCAGCCCATTAATGGTGAGAGCTTTTAGAATAAGAAGAAAAAATCAAAAAATAAAGTCCAAGTGATCATTATAAGTAATTGGTTAACACTCCACTTTTGTTAGATTTGCTTCACTCGGGTCAGTATTATTAAGAATTTCTTCCAGGAAATCACACTTGCCGATCAAGATAGGTGAACCTTTATACCACTCGGATTTTTTACTCACAGGTATACTTCTATTGACAGGTATACTCGAGAGTAAGAGCAGAGTTCTTGCGCGCTTTCTTATAAGAAAGAGAAAATTTTGATTTGTCCATCATTCTCTTTTGTAATGATTAATTGATATGATTATTTCATTAATACTAGCAAAATCATACGAAAAATAGCACATTCTTTTATTCTGTTAATCTTAATCAAGTTTCGTAGCAACATTTGTAATAAATTTGGTACGAAACGGCGAATATCAATATCAAAATACGAAAATTGACAAATGCTTATTCATTACAAAGTTATAAAGATTTAAAGATTCGTCAATTTTTGATCCATAGCTTGCAATTCTTGCAACAACTCTGTACGCTTTGGTACTGATTCTTCATTTCTCCATTTCAGCTTTAAATTTCTCGGCTTGTAACCTAATAAATTGTATAATTCATAGTATCAAAATTGAATATATATTATGTATACGGGATGAAAGCAGAAGCAACATATAGGCCAAGAATAACCAAGTAGCTGACATCATTTACATGGACGTGCTCGGTATATGGCTTAGACTTTCCCAAAACTAAATGGGAGACTCTTCAGAAAATCATAGAGAACAATAAAGCGAACTATCCAAACAAGTACTGGCCAATCAACCAGGTATCGTGGTAATAGACAAGAATTAGAAATTAGCACTGGTGATTGATATAATAACAGTACCAAGCAACAGGAACGTCAGGAAGAAGGAATATGAGAAATTAGAGAAATACCAATGGCTGAAAAAAAAAATTACATAAGATGTGGAAAATAAAGGCAAAAGTAACTCCAGTGATGATTGGAGCACCAGGAACTGTGTGCCTTAAACTAGAAAAGTGGCTTTAATAGATGCTAGAAGCATTAAAGATCTGTGTCTAGAAGAAAGTACTACTAAGAACAGCTAAGATACTATGCAGAACCAATCTCCTAGACTTCTGAGGATGATCATAACCATCCACAGAATATGAGAGAGAAATTTAAAAGGAATTTCTGGAAATTCGCTAAGAATAAAAATAAGACTAATTTAAACAAATAAGTATTTTGGTTCTAATTTTATGCCAAAGATTAGATATTTTTCTCGAGTTCATTATCGGTCTTTTCATGAGCAGAATGCATCAGTTGCAAAAACTGCTGTATTATTTGTGGTTTAATTCCTTTAAGAAAAGACGATGATTCGGTGAAAAATGAAAAATCAGCAATCGATGAAAAACAGATTTAAGCAATAGTGATAAACCGATTTAAGCAATAACGATAATGAAATCACCTATCTTTGTTTTTTTGAACGATTCTTAAATTTGCCTTAATAGAACAGATCAATTTCCATCTGAGAAAAATGATGTTCAATATTTTGTTATCATTTCATATAATATATAATTTAATATGCGATTTCTGTAAAATATAGTTTGCTATGGCTAGGAATTGAATTCGCTATTATTTCTGTCTGCATTGTTTAAATACAATGAAAGACAAATTATGTAAAATAAAATTTGTCTTTTATCAATAATTTTTTCAAAATTTTGTGAATGTGATTGAAGAAGAAAGTTCTTATCAGAAAGCATTATTTAAAAACAATTTATTGCAGTTTGGAGAATGGTCAAATGAAATTGGGTGGAAATACATCGATGGCTTCACAAATCTGTGGCAATTCAATATCGATTCAGAACGAACCAATCTAGAAGGAATCACATTAAGGATTGTTGTCCATTTGGTAAGCTTTTTCTAAGAGCTGTCAACAAGAACTTATGATTACGCTCTACTTTACTCACTTATTGAAGTCGCCAGCACTCAGATTTTTTAAAAGAGAAATTCCTGCCGGAAATGGAAATGGAAAAATGGAAGCATTTCGGAATAGTAGCAACAACTCACAGAACCATTCCTTCCCCTCTGATGAAACTTATTGATTAAAGTCTGAAAAAGTATTTAGCACGTCTTTATTTTGGTTTGAAAACTGATTAAAATTTCCTTAATTTTGTTGATGTTTTCAATTTTGAATTTTGAAAATTCCAAGTACTTCCGCAAACTATAGTTATAATTTAATTCATAATTTGGTTTTTAGTCTAGTAACATATAATTTAGTTAATTACCATTAGTTCTTTTCTTCACCATTTCTGGTTTAGTTGACTCTATTGGCCAATAGGATGATATTTTAGCTAGAAGGTAAATTCTAAGAGGTACAAGTGAATCATCGACATCATCTAGAATCAGCTTAGTAGGCAACAGTAGCAAAAAATTTAGCAATTTTTTGCAAATAAATTTTGAAAATGATTTTAGGAAGAACCATTTGTTATGCAAGCAAATAATGAACTTGGTTATGAAGGATACTGCATCGATCTACTTCTTGAATTATCGAAATTATTGCGCTTTAATTTTACCATTTTTACGGTCTCTGATGGTACATACGGCATTGAAGTAAGATTTCTTCCTAATCTCATTTCCTCTATTATATCATTTATGGCAGTGGTTTACGTTAAATTTTTTACATTACTGATACTGATGGTGCATTAAATTTTTTTCTAGATAATGCCATAAAAATCCGTGGACTCCCATTGCAAAACTTTCAACACTTTTTATAATTTTCAGGGATTCATTATATTATAAACCTCATAAAATAATCACCAGAATCATCAAAAAATAATTCGTTGCCATTCAAAAAAAAATTATGTAAAAATTCAAATTGCATTAAATTATAATGCTTTGCATAAGTAATATAAGCAATTTGTTGCAAATAATCAAGCTATTAACACAAAACAAAATATTATTTCTATTGTATAAAGTGCTTTTAATTTAATGAAAAGGGCGCATTTGATTTTGCTTTGGAAGGGCATTTATATCAGTTTACGGTTCGTGTTTGAAACACAAATCTCCTCGTTTTTCCAAATTCAGCCTGTTTCGCTAAATTATTGCTAAATTATTTTTTGAGGATTTCTGCAATTCAATATTTAACTATTTCGCCATTAGATACAGCCAATGAAGAGAGTTCAGGAAACTTTCTTTTTAAATGAGAAGAAAAACCTCGATATTTACCTATCAAAGAAGTAGCAATCAGTAATATAATATCAGTAATAATGTAATATTTTCCATAAGAATATCATGCTTTTTCAGATACTCTTTCAAACAATGAAATATCGCTCTCTTTAAATCTGTTTTTAAATATTTTACAAAAGAAAGAAATTCGGTTAAAAACAATTTTGATCCGTTTATATACACTACATAAGCCATAAGAATATATGCATTTCGGAAAGTTCATTCATCCAATTGAACTGGAAACTTACAGTTGCGAAGTCCATTCGTTTCTTCAAATTTTTCAGACTCGTTTTGGCTCGTCTAATCGTCTTTGCCACAATTACAAGTACTACTGTCATATTGCTATAACATATTAGAAATAGCAGTGGACTCTTTTTGTGTCATCTCACTGACCTCTTTTACGAAGCAATATGCTTCTTTCCAATTGAATGCGATTTTCTTGATTTTCTTGCTTTTACGTGAAAAAACATTGGTATGTATAGGTGAATTCGTCTTCAGGAAATACCTGAAGTTTTTAAGAATGGCATTACTTAAACAAGGACATTATTGCAGTATAATTTTTGAAATTATATTTCAGCAATTATATACAATAATTTTGAGGTGGTGATTTTCATTTTTCTTAGCTGCATGCATATTTTGAAGATAATCTTCCATTTTTGATGGTGTTATACTGCTTAATACCTTCTGAAAAACTAGACACAACAATTGAAGATAATTCATAGTTAGGCGAAAAAATAAAACCAAATTCCAGTTACGACAATACGACAATAGCATTTAATATCTGTAAGCAAAATTAAAGCATAGAATAAATAAAATATAAAATACAGAAGACTCCCCTTTCCATGAGCAACAAAGCCTATAACTTTGTAGAATTGTTTATCCATATATAGTATCAATTTCAACAGGAGTAAACCCATAAAATCAAGAATCCGAATGGCTGCTGGGGATTCATTTGTAACTCTATTTCCAAGTGACTCTATGGTGAAAGGGTCAGATATTCTTGAAACGGCATTCATGTCCTCCGATGCGCATGATACTCCCAACTCGGTGCACATGCGATAACCATATGCAATCTGGCGTAAAACGATCCCATGGCTTGCAAATAAAATAAAATATGCTCGCAAGCCAGAGAAATTGTTCGAAACGTGAAAAGGGAAACGATTCTTTGTATGCGCGAGAAGGTGTTGGATGTAGCAGCGTGGAACACCAGAACTTATGGACGTTGTAAGCCAAGCGATGACTGTTAACACTTTCTAAATATCGTTTGTATGTCGTCTGCTGGTCGGAATTCCGTTTTCCTCACTTCAGGTTTGGTGTAATTACTAAACTTAATTCCTAGGAGAGATGCCGGCTACATCATTCGGGCGAAATGGCGTATCATTTCTGAAAATGCCCAATTCGCTTTGATTGAGTGAAAACTCGCTTTGACCGGTAAGGTAACTGGCGAGTAACTTTGTCTGCAAATGACCATGATAAAAATAAGTTCCATACGGAATTTTAATTGCTAACAAAACCTCTACTACGACATGGTCATATTTGGGCGAGAGAGAATGAAATGTGTATTGATGTCGCTGCGATGGTTACGAGACATGGCCAATGAGAGTGGAGTGTATTAGCTGTTAGCTGCCTCATATCTAAGGTATATTTTATGGGTCTACCGTAAAATCGCACATGATTGTATCCACTTTCGTTTAACAGTACTATCATAGAGCGTCGCCTTCGTTGGTTAGGGTATGTTCTTCGTTGTCCATCGCCAAAGCTGACACATGTTTCGTTATTTGCTAAATGTTGTGATGGGTGGTATCAAAAACGAAGTGGACCAATCAAAACCTGAACGTATGGGAAAACCAGCAATATACGGACTTAGACGATGGAAAAAAGAAAGGCTTCTACTACTGTCAGCCATGGCGTCAGATCGAACAGCTTGGAAACGTCTTGTTACCAGCCTATTGGAACCTAATGGGACCAGCGTATTGATGGTCAGAAAAAGGAGAAAAGAAGACAATTAACAACTAAATCTATTTTAATATGGCAAAATGTCAAGAGAAAACGAATGAAAATAATCAACAATAAGTGATTGTGAATATAATAAATAAGTAATATAATAAATAATAAATAATTAAAAAATATTTCAATAAAAATATGACTTCGCACTTCTTGCATTCTTTTTTTCTTCGATCCTTATTAACTAATTCAAAATTCCGATATTTTAGCGGAGTTTAATATAATTTATTCCTGATAAATGGAAACTTATACCATTAGGCATCATAAACAAACATAAATAGAACGATTATTGTGACGTTAACGAGAATTGCACAACTGAAACAATACAAACAAATACAATAGCCGCAGGAAGAAGGTGCATGACCGTTGCACCTCCAATAACACGCTACACGAGAAAAAGTATTTCCATTTAAAATGGATGTTGCCTTGTATTAGCGTTATAATTTCGCAACAGTGGATTATCTGCAGGAAGCTTTGAAGCTCCAGCATGGTCATCTCTCGGGCATACCCAAAAGATCCATTAGGCTAACACGCACTCTCTGAAAGTGGAGCACCGATTCTTTTAAGTAGAGATTTTATTTCGCATATTGCGAGTACTACAAATAGCTATTGCAGTTGTTATAACCAATATTTTGCATATAAAACGATATTCACTAACATATTATTAGAAAATGAAAAAGATTTTTTAATTTTAAGATTTTTTAGTTTTAAGGACAGTGTTGGTAGATGGAATGGAATAGTTGGAGCGCTGCAGAGGCGAGAAGCTGATATGTCAATATCAGCAATAACAATTACATATAGTCGTATAGAAGTTATTGGTTGGTCGTTTCATGTATCAAAATCGTAATGTGTTTCAAATAATAGTAGAAAATAAGCATAAAAAGTAGAAAATGAGAGCACTTATGACTAAAAATAAGAGGAAAAAGAGGTGAAAGTTGTGTAATTCTATCATGAGAGTGATTAGTTGGCGTACCGTGGAATAGGAATAAATTAATCGACTCTAAATTAAAGAAATTGCAAAAAATGATAAGGTATTATAGAAGAAAGAATATTGTACTAACGATTAGAGAGGAAAAAAATCTACTCTTTTCCAAAAAATAATCAAAGGGCTAATCATTATCATTATCAGGATAATTCTTACTTCTTCATGAATTTTACTAAGAGTTTCCGGTAATAATTCCTTTCTTCTCTTGTTATTTTGTCTTAAGATTTTACTCTTCCGTTTATGCACCTCGGTATCTCAGTTCTCCTAGCAAAAGATGGTGAAGAGAAAAACAGAAATCGCCTGTTTACATTCCTTGAACCTCTTTCGTTTTCCGTATGGATATCATTGTTATGTGCTTATTTGGCTGTTTCAGTCTCAATGTGGTTATTGGCAAAATTCAGTTCACGTGAATGGTATCTATTTGACTTAATATTATATTAGTATTATATATCTAAGAAAATATTTTTAACTCTCATTTGCGCAAATTTGATGATATAAGACAAATCAAAAATTTAATTAAATAAAATATTTGATTTCAAGAAAATTTTGGAATTTAATTTCAATGAAAGTTTAAATTATCGAGTTTACTCGTCCTGCTTTCGACAAGAGTAGACCTGTAGTTAAAAGCGCTGGTGGTGCTAACAACACATCTGTTAAATGATTCTTTGGGAAAAATTTATGATCTAAATAACAGCTAGCCTAATCAAAGGTGAAAGCAAACTACTTTAATTTTAATAGATTTTATTAATATTTAAAATTAAAAATTTAAATTTAAAATTTTAATGGACAATTTGATAGATTGACAATTATACTATTTATACTATTAATCGATATTTTCAAGTTTTTTTTCAGGTTTAATGTGGAGCCTATTAATGGAAAAATTATGGTTTATGATAACTATAAAAATCAGTTTAATATGACCAATAGTTTATGGTTTGCAGTCGGAAGTTTAATGCAGCAAGGTTCTGATGTGATACCTCGAGCTGCTGCAACACGCATCGTTGCTATCACTTGGTGAGTTAAAAAAACTACAAAATTTCGTCAAAAATTAACATAAGCGCTGCCACTAGCCGATTGTTTTTTTGCAAATTCTGGTAGCTAACAATGCTTTTAAATGTAAATGATGAGGAATATTACAGTGCAAATAGATCATACACGTGTCATTTTAAGCATTGTTATAAAAAGTTGAGAGTTCCTTGGAAAATAAAAAGTGAACTTATTTGTACAAAATTTAAGGTGGTTGTTTACTTTGATATTATTGTCATCATACACGGCACAATTGGCTGCTTTTCTGACCGTCGAACGTATGACAACAACCATTGAGAATACAGCTGATTTAGCAGGACAGCATAAAATTAAATATGGTACTTTAAAAGGAGGCTCGACGATGAATTTTTTTCGTGAATCAAAAATACCTATCTATGAAAGAATGTTGGTTTTTTTCCATGATTGTTGCTTTCTGTAGATTAGATATCTTTCAAAGTCTTCGAATCTTTAGCATTATCATATTCTTAATGTTTTTAATAAGTATCCGATTTACATAAAGCCACGCGAGAATATTTTACCTCGGGTATTCATTTCGTGCGAAATGCCTTTATTTCTCATTCATAAAGGAAAACAGCAACAATCATTTAATCATTCACAAAGATGGTGCTTTTTTGAATAATGTCACCATTTTTGGCTAGGCTAATTCCGCTGGCTATTGGCATATTTAGAAATTTTTGGGAAAGAAGTTACTAGGGAAAAGGAATGCAGACGAATCGCTTGCACCACTTGAATTTCTTGAAATTAATGAGGGATTTACTCATCTCGGAGACATAGAATCAAAATGAATGAACGCAAATCGAAGCAATTAGATAGAAAGAGGATTCAATGGTTCGATGGCTTTCTCTTATCTCTTTATTCCATTGGCTATTAAGAACTCATTCATAACCACAGATAACACGGTAAATGAACGTGAACATTGTAACTTGTACTAATCTCTTAAAAAAATTGAAACTGTATATAAATTTTATAAAATTTTGTCCGTAACCAATTGCGTCAAAGGTGGTCAGTGATGGAGTCCAACGTTCCAACAGTATTTGTAAATAGTAGCAAGGAAGGGATTGAAAGAGTTAAAGCTGGAAATTATGCTTATATTATGGAGTCAACAATGATTGAATATTACATGGAGAGAGACTGTGATTTGCAGCGAATTGATGCGCTTTTAGATTCGAAGGTATTTCATTTAAATTTGCTTGTATTTTCCCCCAAGATTATTCAGGTAAATTTATTTTGACAATTTTAAATTTAAATATTTTTATATTTATACTTAATGCATTTCACGAAAACCGATTATCCAATTTTACAATCTTTTTATTATACATATTGAAGTCGTGAAGTCAAGTCAGCTTCTCTGATTTTGCGTTATACCAGAGGTGAAATCCTGCCTTTAGAGGAAATTTCAAGATTATAAGTGGCGATGGATTGAAGCTTTAAGCAAGAATTCTGTCGAAAATGGAACCGTAAATTGAAATCATTGAAAATGATGCATACGCTTGCACTTCTTGTGTACTTTCAAGCACTATCATGCATCAACATGGATTCCTCGTATTAGCCAGAAAAAAATTTACTATACAACCATATCCCACTGAACTTTTCAAATTTTCAGTTATTAAGCATGGAAGAGTGTAATGACTCCAACATATAATGGATGATGAAGAGGATGCATAGTATCGAAAAATTTGAGAACCACTGCTTTAAATAATTGTTTCAGTGGAAAACGATTAATACAAAACAAGTGATTTTAATCTATTGTGATCCAGTTTCCCAGAGAAAATTATTTCAGGGATATGGAATTGCTCTTCCAAAAGGCTCTCCATTACGTAATTTACTTTCTCAGGCGATACTTAAATTGCAAGAAAGAACAATACTCGAAGCGCTTAAAAACAAGTGGTGGAAGGACAAAAGCGGTAAAAACACGCCAATTTTTTTCGTGTGAACCGTGACACTTCTAGCAAAAATCTGGAAAGTACCCAAAAGTAACAGAAGTTTACCATGTTCCCATTGAATCTAGGCACAAACTGGGTTTATTCCATTTGCTGAAAAAAAACGAACCCGTCACTGAACGCTTCAGAGCACATAAGGTCGTGGCTAATGCAGAATTACTTGCACCTCTGCTTTCAAGTGACTTTTTGGTCATCCAATGCCTAGGTGTTACAAACGTTATTTAGGAGTACTTTCATGCAGTGCAACAAAAGAAAAGGAAATATCAGCTTCATCATTCGAAAACATAATTGGAATATTCTACGTATTATGCATGGGTGTTATCGTTGCATTTCTTCTGGCAGTTACTGAATTTTTCCTCGAATCTAGAAATGAAACGATACGCACACAACTGACAATCTTGGGCAGGCTGAAGTATACTAATTTATTTTGTATTTATTTTATATACTAAAATTGCATGAAAGAAATAATAAGAACAATCGAAGCGCTAAAAACGAATGGTAGAAGGACAAAAATGGTAAAAATACGTCAATTTTTTTCGTGTGAACCATGACACTTCTATCAAAAATCGGGGAAGTACCCAAAAGTAGCAGAAGTTTACCATGTTCCCATTAAATCTAAAGACAAATTGGGTTTGATTTATTTGGCTTTTTTTCAGTTTCTTCTTTCCTTCTTCTGCAAATTAATTTATATTTTAATTTTATTCAACAACAACCAAAATTCAAATTATATTAATTATATCTATTGAAAAATTTAAATTGACAATATAATAACATTTCTTAGCAAATGGTGGAACGAAACATGGAGAAAGGCAAAATTTGAGGAAAAAAAACGCAAATTTCATAATATTCAATTGGATACGACCATAAATCACAAGTAATTTAATGAACTACAAAGTGACAAAATTTTTAAAAGATTTGAGAAAAATATTTTACTGAATATATATGTATATATTTACTTATATCTTTATTAAATAACTATTAAATAAATAAAAGTGAAAAAATTTTTAGATCGCACAATATAAATAAGCCATCGGAACAAACATACAAAGGAAAAAAACATGGTGTAACTGAATATGGAATTTCACAAAATCAAATAGAGCGATTTCTACCGATAAGCGATGAAATTTTGTATATGCGGCGATTATCAACACCTAGAGAAAGTTGCCTTTGTCATCCCAATTAAATATTATTCATTATATAATAACTCCGTAATCGAAAAGAAAAGATAAAATATTTTTAAAAATTTTGAAAAAAGAATAGACAAAATATTGCAAAAATATATTTTAAAAACGAATGCAAAATAACTTCACAATAAAAAATTAAAATGGATGAATCGGAAAGTGATTGAAATTATTTAATAGGAAATTATTTAATATTTAAATTATTAATCCACGAACTTTACCGATTTGCGTTATCTAAACCAAGCAGATGAAGAATAAAAGAATAAATAATAAAAGAACACTAAAATGGAAAAATGAGCATTTTAAGAAATATCAAAAAAAAGGCAACCAACACATTACGAAAAATAACAATGTATATAGAAAATAAGAAAATAGTGTATAGCGAAAACAAAAGTGGTGAAACTGTGAAGTTTTTTTCAAAAAGAAATGATGTTTTTAGAGCTGAAATTAAGAAAAAAAATATTCACCAAAAAACTTCAAACATACCAATCAACGACAACGAGAAGAAACGGTTAAGTGTGATGCGAATGCAGATAAAACCAAAGTACAGCATTAATCATCAAATCGGCATTACATTCAACTTCCTCTATGCAATGATTTGAGTTTGGATAAATGAGAACTCTAAAAGGATTTTTTTAACCAAATGAATTCCATGTTCAAATATTACAAATAGCTAAAAATATTCAAAGCTTACTTTGTTGGTATGTCACGAGCTAGCAAATTTCGTATAAACGAACGAGAATGATCAACCACACGCAAATCTTTCGCACCAATAGCTAACATGTATGGTGTTATAACCTATTAAATAATTTCAATCACAAAATTTCAAAACCCGAAAAAAGGTAGATTTTGAGCATACAAAGTGATGTACTCTTGTACATTCAAAGTAATATACTCATAAATTCTTTTCTTCTTCTGCCAAAAGAAATAAACCTTATGAACATGTGCTACTGGTGAACATTCATGCATTTTTTGTCGTTGCTCGATAGTCGGCATTTTACACCAATCAACGTCCACACCTAAACCTTCAACGGCAGCCCTTCAAAATACAAAAATTTAAATTATCTAATTTAATAAAAAGATTATATTGTAAAAACTAATTATATTATAAAAAACTTCGAAATATGGTGGAATGCTGTCTTAAATTAAAACGTAATTAAAAAAACTTACCAATCGGCTATATCAGACAAATCGAACATTGCTAAAAAAAATAACGGATAACTACCAACAAATGATAAATCAATTTAATTCGACTATTAAAAAAACCGTTCGCAAATTAATGGAGAAAAAAAAATTGAATGGTCAGTGCTTCAGAAAATAGAAACCTGTCATCAAAAAGCAATGCCCAGTAGTACTGGCGACCCTGCTCTTCTATTGCGAAGTGATTTTTATTATAAAAGCAGTAGCTCTTTGCTGATTAGCCTCGCTCCGCTGGCTTATCGGGTTAGGAAATATGCCAAGAAACCTCTTAAGCGATGTTAAAAAAGGTGGATCGTCAGTATCAACAGAACTTTTGAAGGATCAACACCAAATTGAGGAAAAATCCACTCAGCAATTCTACTCTCCTTTGCCTTTTCCGTTAGGTAACCTGATGAAGTGTGACGAGTGGTTCAGATTAAAACCTAAGCATCGACTATCAACAGCAATTATTTTACGACTGAACCACCGACGTACCAAATGTCTTCTGCATATCATTAAAATCCGTCAAAATCAAATCCGTAGCAAAAAAATTTCCATATTAGCGGCTAATAGTGGATACTTAACGCGGTAAGCAAGTAAGTTAGTTAATTTTTTACCACTAATTTTTTACTAATTTTTTTACTAATTTTTTCCACTAATTTTTTGATTCCATAAAAATTATTAAGGTATTTTTGCCTATAAAGAAAAAAACTAACAGCACACATTGAGCACTGGATTTATTGCAACACACGCTTTATAAAATCCCTGAAAAACGAAAAAATAGAGGAAAAAAAATTACAGAAAAAAATTTAAATTTACAATTTACAAATACCGGATATTGTCCAATGAGATTACTAGCTAGAAATCCACCATGAGAAGAACCCATCACAAATATATTATTTTCATCTATGTTTTCAACCTTCCGCAAAATATTCAGAACCGAATTCTGCAAAATATTTTAGAATTGAACAATTCAAGCGATAAAAATAAAATTTAGTTTCTCAATAATTTACTGAAATATTAATTAAACTTTCGCATAATATATAAAATTTTACATGCACGTCTTTGACATCAAAGTCGCCACAGTTCCCAAGTAACGAATGCACAAAATTATCACCAAATCCTATTGAACCTCGATAATTGACAAGAAGCACCGCAAAACCTGACAATGTAAGCAATGCATGCGAGATTCGCGACCATCTAAACGATAGTAACGAATTAAGAATTTAGACCAATTTATGCAACAAAATTAAAAAAAATTAAATAAAAATAATAAATTGAGAACTAAAACTAACGCGGCAAGCGAAATACTATGTGGCCCACCATGAGGATATACAACGAGAGGATGCGGTTTATCTCCACGAGGCAAAATAAGTATTCCTTCGTGAAAATCAAAGCCTCAATAAATGCAGCAAATTAAAAATGGTTCCAATTTAACGATGCAAAAATAAAAATTCTACAGTAGTTAATAATATGATAAAACTACTAATATGATAACAATTTTCATTAACTGGCTTATGATGACACTTTTAGGCTATCTGCGATCTCAAATCATTATTAGATTAATAATGATTTAGCAATGATTGTTTCTAACTAGTAGAGACCATAAAGATCGATAACCTCCAAAACCATCTCTAAAATTTATCCCTAATTTTATCTTACAAATCTATTAAAAGTGCATTCATCCCCTCTATAACTGGATCTATCCACCTTGCTGCAGGTCGATTCTTTTTTTCTTTATTCGCATCATTTCCAGCAATGGAACGTTTTTTTTTTAGAAAGCTGGGTCTTTGCATTTTTCTAAAGCAGGAGCTTCGCCATTTGTTCATCGAGTGAAAATTCTGGCTTAATTTCAGATTTCTTTCTTTGGCTATATAAGAAAATATCTTAAGAGTCTAATATCTTAATAGTCTTCTCCAGAGTTTTTCAAGAGTCTTCTCCAACATAAAATTTCAAAAGCAATTATATTCTTTCTGTCCTGCTTTTTTAAAGTCTCGCATCCAGAGTGGGAAGAAGTACCGTGATTTAGAACTACAATTCTTGTAGGCCTTAATCACAAGAGAATAAATTCTCCAGTGTTTTTATGGTTGTTCAATCCAAGTGCTAATCCAGGATGTAATTCATGACTTTTCCTTTATTTTTGATGGTTGATCCAAAAAAGATATTAATTGTCAATTTTAGAGCTGATTTTTCTATCTATTATCATAGTTGAGCCTTTACCTTTAGATCTTAAATGGTTTTTGGACATGCCCTTTTAAAACTAAAAAAATCTTTTGCATTTACGAGTAGTAGTATCATCAACATATTTTTACAGGTTATTGATATTTTTCTCCCATTTTTGAGACCAGCCTGGTTTGATAAAGATAATAAGAAAATAAAGAGGAAGTAAAGATCCTTGCTGCACTCTTACGCACTCTTCTACTTCGCAACATTATGCCCATACTTTGATTTGTATAAAAAAATCTTATAAAACTAATGATGTTCTAGAATTTCCAGAATAAAAAAACTATATACTATAAGATAATTGACATATTTCCTATAATTGATGAAATTGCTGAGCTTTTTCTTATATTCTTTGGCTCATTCAATTATTCGGCGTATATCAGCAATATCTTTCCGTGCTTTTCTGAAATCAGCTTAAAGATCCGGTATATCTTTCTCGATGCAAGGTTCTGCTTTAATTCTAAGTAGTATTTCGCTTGCATAAGAAATTAATGATACTGTTCTATTCTCTTCTCTTAAGTCACCTTTTTTGGTATTGGAATATACATTAATTGTTCGGCTGGCTAGCATATGTTCTTCTCTAGATTTGATGGCATAGCCTAGAATTTTGATATAATTAGAAATATTCTTATTTGCCAAATTTCACAAGACATTCCATCAAATTCCTTTAGTTTTCCACTTGGTACTGCTACTAATAAGCGTGGAATGTCGAAGATTGATTTAAAATTCAAATACTAGAAGTCTCTGTGAGTAAAAAATATCATCTATGGTCTTCTGCATACTAACGTCCACGAATTGCCTATCCAATGGGGCTTTTTATCATAGCAATTCGAGACCAGAACCTGCTCCGAAAGAACCATTTGAAACTTTACTTATTTTTATATTTGATTGCAATTTCAATTTCTTTACAAATAAAATATGACTTTGCTATAAAAATATTTACATATTGTCTTTTCCTTCTTTTGATGGCTCTCTAAAATTCTTTATCAGGTTCCTTTTCCAGATTTTTATTTTTTTTGGTTTTAGCTTCTCTTCTTATCTTAGTTATTTCCACGAATATTTTATTTATGCATCTAATTTTCTTTTCATTTCATTTTTTTTATTTAAATAATACTTCACGTATTCATCTTTATTTAAGTTCATCACATAATTCTGGTTCTCTATGCATAAGATTCGGAATTTCAAAGCGATCCCTGACTTTTGCCTTGAAAATAACCATACATTTAAGATACAATATAACGTCGAAACGGGTTTCTTTTTTAGTATAATCTGAATATGACCAATATATCTTATATATGACCACTCTTCATCTATTTCACAATTGGCATCTGTTCATGTCGCCATAAGTAAGCGACATCTCTCCCTTCATCGCCGCTTAGCAATAATATAGCCGATTTGATTTCGATATGATTTGATTAAGTCCATGTATAGAAGCGCCATTTTCGTTCTTTAAAGACAAGAAGAAATGAAGAAATCCCTGGAACAGCAAAAATGATAAGTCAGTTTCCCGCATAATTTTGGTTTTCTAACAAACCAAATACCTTTTTTTCGTGTCTCCAATCACTAATCATAAGCAAATCAAGATTCAAGATTTTGAATTAAACTTGACCATAAATCTCTCAATATCTTCTTTTTCTGCACTGGTGATCAGATCAAACTTGAATCATATTAAAGAAAAGTCCACAAAATCTAATTGTTATTATTCGATTAACTGAACCAGACAAGTATTGTTGTTGCTCTACTTTTTCCAACTTGACAACACCATTGCTTTGAAAATCCCGGGTGATAAACAATATGATTTTTTGATAGTGCTCGACCTCAATCCATTTCAATTCGCTGATGCGTAGATTGTCAATCTACAGTTTTCCCATTACAGTGTTGAATTTTTCTGAATTCTTGCTTACGTTCCACGTCTTTGCAATTTTTGATTTTCTTTTCCTTTTTCTTGGTAACATCAGCATGAAATGATGCTTTTGCTATTTTCATAGGAATAATTTTCTGTCTACAGCATCGTTCTATACTGCGCAATATAAAATTTTGCTTGTTGTAGCTGGATTTTCCTGCTTTATTTATACTCTATTTATACTCTATTTAAATTCTTTAATAGAGTATAAATCCTCTCGATGTTTCCCGTTCATTTCTCTTAGCAACAAAAAAATATTCTTAAATATAAAAATGACCGATTTGAAATAAAAAATAATTTTGACCAAAGAAAGAAATCGACCAAAAGATTAGGTTAATATATCCGTCAATTAATATATGCTTAGATTTGCTTTAGCATATATGAAATATAAATCAAAGCAAGAAAAAATTTACCTTCCTCTGCGAAGTTAATAATTTGCCATGTTTGACAAAAAGTACGTTGGAGAGAAGTTTTTATTTCGTCTATCTTAGTCCAAATGATCTTAAAATAAATTTGGTATAAAAGATCTCAAAAATTTCATTTTATGGAGTAAATAAAAATATATGAGATAGATTTGAAAGCATATCTGCTTAAGATAACTTGGTGAAATCAATACAAGGACTTATAAAAAATGATTTTAATAAGAAATAAGAAACAAGTAACCTTAGTTTCTGCACCACTTTCAGGCAATTTAGCAAGGAAAAATGATGGTGGAATGGACGGGGACGAGAACTCAACCAAAATATGATCAAAAGAAACATCACGTACGATCCAAGATCCATGAACAGCATCTAAATGACCAATTTCGAAACAATGTAAATTTAGAATTAAGCAGTAATTTAGAAAAAAATTCATAAAATAATGGTGTAAAAATGAGAAATAAAGGATAATTCACTGCTTGTAATATTCGACGAATAAAGAAAAAAATTCACGCCAATGTCATGCAATATATTATATTATGAACCATTATTAAGAAAGAGAATGAAAAAAAAAGAAAAGAGAAAAAAAAATGAAAAATACCAAGATTCGTAAGTTTCTGTAAAGAAGCAGTTTTCGTGTTTACACAGATAACTTCCTTAAACAAATAAGCAATGATCAATGACTACTAAATAATTGGAAGCATTCATTATTTGAAAAATAAAAAAAGTAAAAATCTCTGAGAAGCTCCTTACATTAAAATTTCTAAAATTTTCTTTTCCATTGGCCCATTAATATACTATAAAAAACCTCTTTGAAATAAAGTTAATAGAAAGTGAAAATATTTTAATAAATAAAGAGAATTAAATGAACAAAAGTAGGAAAAAAGAAAGAAAATATTAAAGCATGAAAGGAAAAAATAATCGTTTTGAAAACTGAAACCTCTAAACCTTAAAAAATGAAAAATAACTTTTTTGGATGACCAAGCTGAAGAAAAAATGATACGTCCATTATCTGTGGACCAACATCTTTCAGGAAAATCCACATCATAAAGCCCAGGAAAACCATCTTTGCCTACAGGTATACATATATAAAATGCTTCAAACTTCAAACAGTTTATGCAATTAGGATGAAAACAATTTCCAAAACGAAAACATTTTTTAACAAACCGAAAGAAAAATCAACAGTGGACACCACTACTTTCGCAGTTTTATTATACCAATCATACTAAAAAAAATAAAAATTTGAAAATGGCAAAATAAACTATGAACAATTATTAAAATACAATATTTTTAGAATATTAAAAAAAAACAAACATTAAAATTTAAAAAACCCACTAAAATCATCGCAAGTGATGAATTATGTGGTCCACCAGATTTCCGCTCAAAATAAACCATCTTTTTCATATCAGGGGAGAAGATGATATTTTCGATCGAAACATCAAGTTCGGATAGCATCGACAAACGTTTCGACTCTATTTCATAATAATACAGAGCACCTCTGAAATCTTTTGAACCACATGAAAATGAACTTTTTACTACTAAGAATGTCAACGTGGAGAAATTATAAGGCTCAGAAAATAAAAAAGCAATTTTTAGCCCAAATTTTTTTGATTTTTATGAGAAAATATCGAGTCTCTATAATATAAAACTTAGATTTGCAACGAAAGCAGCAAGAAAACACTATTGGAGTGACATGGCCTCAAAAATGGAGGCAGCGGCTCGATTGGGTGACAATAGGAAACTATTCTACCTTCTTCATAAAGCAATTACGATCCTATGAACGATCAATGAAATGGTAAGAGAGAGCAATGGCGCACTGATCAAAAATATTAAGGATCGCCTCATAAGATGGAAAGAATTCTTTGAGGCCAAACTTAACCATGAAGCGCAATGTGTTGCCCCTGATATAGCTGATACATTTGCCGAGGCATACGCTTGCAACTGTGAGCCTCCAATAGAAGAAAAAATAATTTCAGTTATCCATAAGCTCAAGGCTAACAAAACACCAGGAGAAGATGGTCTTCGGGCTGACTTTTTCAAATACTGTCCATCGTTCTTCATAACGCACCTTCAACAAATGTACTCTTTAGTATGGAAAAAAGAAATATTACCAGATGATTGGAGCAAAGCAATTTTGCTCCCAGTTCTCAAGAAAGATGATAGGACATACTACGACAATTATCGAGGAATCAGCCTACTAGACGTCTCAGTGAAAATTTTTGCTTCCCTTTTACACAAAAGAATTCCGAAAGTACGTGACAACAGGATGCGTCCTAATCAAGCTGGTTTCAGACTAGGGCGCGGTTATGCTGACCAGATATTCACGTTAAAAAGGAACATCGTTTCAAATATTTGCAACCCACTGTCACGTATTTTATTGACTTTGCGGCTGCCTTTGATTCAATTGATAGAGCGTCGCTTTGGAAGATGATGGAACGTGACGGTGTTCCAGAGAAAATCATTAGACTGATAAAGGCATTTTATGAACGCACGTCGGCGCAGTCTGTGTATATGAGGAGCTGACAGATTCCTTCGAAATAAGAACAGGTGTCCGTCAGGCCTGCGTCCTTTCCCACACAATATTCAACTATGCGATAGACTGGATAATAAATACTGCTTGTCGGCATTCAAGAGATGTCCGAATTAGCCCAGGGCATCGTATCACAGATCTTGAATATGCTGATAAAATAGTCCTTTTTGCTGACATAAATAATTAAATGCAAGTAATACTAAATAACGTGTTAGAAATTGCAGCAAGAATCGGACTCAGGATCAATGTAAATAAAACGAAAGTCTTTTCGTCTTATGTGCAAGAAGCTGATAAAATGATTCTTTTGTAAATTGATTGCCGGTTGAGGAAGTGCCTGATTTCAAATACCTTGAGTCCACTCTAATACCAAATGGAACAGGCAAAAGATGAAAGATGATAAGATGATGATAAATATGAAAAGATGAACTCGTATCACGGCAGCTAGAAATGCGTTCTTCCGGTTGACGAAACTTTTATGGAATCGTCGTGAAATCACCACAAAAACGAAAATCCGCATCTATATTGCCGTGATCCGTTCGATCTTACTATATGGTTCTGAGACATGGCATATGAGAGTGGATATTAATAAGTTATCTGCCTTTGACCACTCTTGTCTAAGGTACATATTGCGGATCGAGCGGATAATATATCACAAAATCGATCAATCCATCTTCGTTCAAGTACCACTTGCATGTTATCACAGAGCGCGGCTTTCGCTGGTTAAGGCACATTCTCCGTCGCCCACCACAGGAGTTGCGGCGAGAAAAGATTTTTTCGTTATTCGCTAAACCGTAAACGGTTGGAGTCAAAAGCGAAGTGGGCCAATCAAGACCTGGACTGATACGGCGAGAAAAGATTTTGAACGTATAGGTGGACCAGCAATATATGGAATTAGACGATAGAAAAAGAAATGGCTTCCATTACTGTCGACGAAAGCATCAGACCGCGCCGCTTGGAAGGGTCTTACGCTTGTAGCCGTTGGAGCCAGCCTAACCAATAACGGTGAGAAATGTTAGAAGAAGAAGAAGAATATAAAACTTACCTCCGATTATTGCAAAAAGATCGACCTAATTTAAATGGAACGTTTTTTAAGCCAAAAAATACAATACCCTCATCGTTAGGTCCCCAAACACTCTAAAAAAATAGCCTTAGGCATTATTAAAAGAGTCAGAAGGTAAAATTAGATGGTGAAATACAAATGGATAATAAAATGAAAAAAAAATGAAATTAAATAAATGAAATTAAATTAAATTAAATGAAATAAATGAAATTAATTTTATTTAAATTTAGAAATGGAAAAATTAAACGAAATTTTTACAAAAGTAGGAGATATTTCGTCAGAAATTTGGTCCAACACCGAAATAGTTGCAGTAGTGACATTGAAAATACACAATTTCGGTCGCCGAACGTCATATTGTTGTTCGCCCCAACTTTCAAAAAGTTTAAATTTTTCGCCCTAAATTCAATCAATGTTCTTTTTTTAAGAATCTTCACCATTACTAGTGAAACTCGCTCCATTGGCTTGTCGCACTGGGCAATATGACAGGGTATCCCTTGGCGACAGAAATACAGGTGAGTAGCCAGCATCACCCGTATTTTTTGTACTGGACTGGTTTACCTCTCTGCGATGAAGCAAATCTCATCGGCGCTCCAAATTGAGAAACAACCCAGTGAGCCATTCTACCAATGTAAAACAGTTCAAAGCACAATTTTCTTCGCGAAAATGGAACGAAAATGAAAATTTTAATCAGTGATGAACTCATTGTCATCGTTCATTTCTGCCAAAAAGTTTCGAAAAAATGAAATGAAATGAAAAAACAAAATGTACGATATGTGATTCTTGTATTTTGTTTGCATCATTCCAGTCCAAACTTGCATCAAAAAATTCTGTCGCTTTCTCTTCCTTTTCAGCAACATACAGAATTTTGTCTCCATTTGATGACCACTTGAAGCCGCCGAATGGGCCTAAATCAACAAATTAATGCATATATCAACGTTTCCAAATTTTAAATGAATAACTTTTTTCGTGGATAACCCCGTGCATTTTTGGCGTTGTAACATCTACACAACAAAGTTCGAGATTTTCGATCCGATTGAAAACCTAAAATTTATAAAGGGAATAAAAAAAAATTTATCTACTTTGATAAATCAATTTTCTATTAATACTGAAAAAAACATTAAAAATAAGGAAAAATACACAGAAGAAACAGAAATGCCAAATATTACAATAAATAATGAAATCACCCGAATATATTGTTTTTTTTCCATGTTATCATTTACCATAATTAGGGAAACCATTTTCTTATTATCTGAAGAATAAGTCACCAACTGAGAGCTGAAATCCATTTTTTTTAAAATCCCTTGGCTTTAGTGGTTGATTTCTAATAGCTTAAGAATACTATGGGTCTTCTTTTAAGTTAAAAACTCCGCCATGAAATTTTCAAATTGCCATGCTGTTAGAAAATTCATTGGAAAAATAAAAATCACAATGAATATAGATGATGAAGGGATAGGGATTTAAGTAAATTTAAATAAATAAAAAAAACTTACTCAAGATTGGCAAGAGCAGTCGAAGATGTTGAAATAATCTTATAATAAGGCGATACAACGCATTCTTTAATAACACTTAACTGTTGCATTCTTATGATTTTCTTCATTTGTACGGAGTGATTCGAACGTATAGACGCAATCTAGAAATCATATTTCCGATATATTTTTCTAATATATTTTTATAATAACTTATATATTTCGAATATCTTCCATAAAAAAAAATGATACTTGTAAATATTCGCCATCACCATTAAAAATTCGACCTGATATAATCAATGGCACCTAAATTACTTGAATTATTTCAGTTTACCAAAATCAATAATTAAACTTAAATCATTAAAAAACTCAGCACATTCGTTTAAGGCTTAATAAGAAGTTTCTATAATGAAAATTAGGCTTAAATATAAACACGTTTTAAAAAGTTCAAACAAAATTTAAGACCTTTGCAATGAGATTATACTGTTCTTTTAAATTTTTGATAATATTAATGGAATTATTGTTATCAATCGCCATTTTTTTACTTGATTGTCAACAGAAAATCCGAAAAATCCGAACTGAATTTTAAAAATTTCACAAATTTGCATTCAAACTATCAAATGGAGGAAATCCATCATGTTAATATTTAACATTATTAATTAACCACACAAATAAGTAATAGGCTAAATTATTTCTTTCAAACAAGAATTTTAAATTTATAACTTGAATTTCTGAAATAAATTTTTGAAATATAAATATGTTTGTTGATATGCTTCTCCACAGGATTCTCGAAGCAAATTGGTGAATATTTTAGTTAAGAATCAAAATATAAGCAGTGAAAATTCATACAAAAAATGAGGTATAAATTTCAAAGAAAAATTCCAATGCATTTTATTTATGACCATTAAAATTAATTCTAACGAATATAACACAATAATCAGTGGGAAAATTCATTAAAAAAATCCTGGAGAATAAATATAAAAATAAATAAACACATAATTTATAATAAGAAATTACTTATGTCACACAACGAATGCTTAACGAATGACCGAGTTTTCAGACAGTCTTATTGTCAACAAACTGTATAAATTTCGGAAAGAAATTTCTTTCACTCAGCTTATAAGAGAATAATTCACTAAATAACTCACGATTCAAGAAATCGTCTATTTATATTGTTTTCAACTCTTCAATTACTCCCCTCCTACTATTCCCCCTCCTTGCCCCCGACCTTTCTACCACTCCCCACCCTTCTACTATTCCCCCTCCTTGCCCCGACCCTTCTACCACTCCCCCATCTTTCTATCACTCTCCAACCTTATTACTACTTTTATCATTCGCACTTACATAGAAATGACCATTCAGAAACGAACAATAAAACCAATCCAATAACAAATAAATGCAGGAAACAAAGCTGAGACCAGAAAAACCTTGCGACCACTTTAAACCCATGAAATTTTAAATATTTTGGCAACAAGCCAGGAGTGCAAACTTTCGTTTTAGGAAAATAATTTCACTCATTTCAGTCATTTTTTAAGCACCTCTAAGGCCCTATTCACAATATTTTCACAATATGGCTAGAGGGTCAGCAATATATGGCTTAGGTGGTGGGGAAAGGATTGGCTTCAGACAAACTTGGCTATTGCAAGAGGTTGGGAGGCCTGGGAAAGTAGAATTGGAAAACATTGGTTTCGTTATTATTCATTATTGTTTTGTATTGTTTAATGTTTCGGAATCTTTTAGTCTGAGATAATTTAAAGATCTTGAAAGGTGTTGCTATCGAAAGCATGTATTAGCAGCAAGAAGCCTTGCTCTGCCGCAAAGCGAGGAAGCGAAAAAGGCGTTCTCCGTTGGTGCACCTTTACCATCTGCCGTTGTGTTTAACGGCTTAACGACCATAAACGGTTTAGCGCTTTAAAATTTATGCTGAAATGGAGGATTTGTAAGCAATACCATCTGAAGAAATTATCTATATTACTATTATTATCTATAAAGCTAATCTGATATTTCGATAAAATAATGAGGGCAATTCGAAGTACAAAAAAGATTGTAATATAAGTTATTTTTGAAATTATTTATATATATATATAAGTTATTGATCGGAATGTTAATGAGTGCATTCACTTCCGATCAAATTTATGAAAAATTTCTAGCTAGTTAAATAATTCAAAAAGTTTTGATTTAGAAGGCAGTAGTATTGTATTGTGTCGTATTTAACTAAAACTAGAGGAAGGGTGCTCGATGGTCCAGTAGGTATTAGTGGTTTTTTGGTATATTTGATGATACATCATCACAGACGATTGAAATCTGGGTGCAACTGAGGAAAAAACGTGCGACTTTTCACAGTGGTTCCTAACAAAAGCCCAGAAATGGTGTTGGGCTTCAGATGAAGAATACTTATATAAGTATTCCTTCATTTTTTCAGATAAACTATTTTCAGTATTAGCAGTTAAAATTTGCTTTTACTATTCTTTCCCACTTTCTTTTGAAAAAATTACTGAACAGTGAGGACAGTGCTGCTGTGGATTTGATAATTTTCTAACCGTGCTCATTATTCATATTCATATTGGAGATGGTCTGCAAGTGTTTAAAGAAAAATTGTCTCATGAATTATAAATGCGGTGCTGCTTTAATATCACCGAAAATATTAATCCATATAAAGTATGGAATCCCAGCTCTGTTTCCATGTCCGACAAATTTAAATTGGCTCGCAAGAGGATTGGTTTCATTGAAGCTGTCGTTTAAATTTCGTTAAAAATAATTAAGAGAGAAGAGCCAAAACAGTTTGCTGAATTCAAAATAGCAGCGATTCCTCAAAGTATTACAGAAAGGTACGATAAAATTTTACTTGTTTAGGGGTACTATGCTCAATATATATATCACTGAAAATACCATTAACCATAATTTTCAGCGATATTTTATCAAAGCGAATGGCTGTTGATGCAAAATTATCTAAAAGCTCCGAGAAGGTAGGAGGCAAAAAAGAAGAAAAAAGTAATAAACACAAGTTGATTTTCACGTTTGAGAAGAAAGGATCTGACAACATGCAAAACACTCCGACAGGTTTTGACCAGTTTTTTTAATCAAAGAAACGAATATTTAGATAAAAAACGGAAAAGCAAGAAATCGAAAAGCAAAAAAGTGAAAATCAAGAAGTCGAAAAATAAGGAAACGAAAAGTGAAAATTCAAAAAGCAAAAAATCGAAAGTTACGAAACAAAATAAGGAAAAAATATTTATCCAAATTTATTTTTTCATTTAACATAGTCGAGCTAAGACGAAATTTAACAAATAAAATAATTACAACAAAAATTTTAATTAAAATTCAGATGAAAAAAGCATTAAAAGGAAGTCTAAAAAAGAAAGCAGGAAGAAATCTATAAAAAGAAATAAAAAAGAAAGTGGAACTAAGAAAAAAGAAATTTTATCGAACTAAAAATGAAAGCAGAAAATGTAAAACGCAAAGTGGAATAACTCTGAGAAATTGTTTTCATTTAGAATTTTCAGTTTAACTGATAAAACGATTTGAATTAGCCAGAAGAGAGAGAAATGAAAGAGAATCTTTCTCGACACGTTTTATATATATTTCCATCGTTGGTTTTATCCAGACTTCACTTATGGTTAGGTTTGTCGTTAAATATTGGGTTTGAATGAATCAGAAAGCGAAATGGAGTGAAAGCAAAACGGGACAAATTCAAATTCATATTTGATGAAGGAAATCTTTTTGTTCTATCTACTATACTTGATTTGCTGCATATAAGGTAAACATAAGAAACAATACAATATGAACAATGTGTAACTTACTTATAGTATATTTAGCGCAGTTTAAACTGCACTCGGCAAAAGCGAGCGACTTTTCCCATATTCTGTTATAAATAATTTTAAGAATAATTTATTTAATCCTTCCTTTATAATGTAGAGGATTCTTATTCGAGTCGAAAAAAGATTCAATATTAAATAAAGATTGAATCGAAAATTAAACATTGAACATCGTGAAATAATAACCGTTTTTATAATATCAAACGGTGAAATCCAACAAATTTTAGAGGAAGAATGAAGCAAAATCTCAAAGACAAGAGACAACGCAAAAAAAAAAATAAATAAGAATGAACAAATAAATGGAGAATTTCATGAGAGTGTTGCATTTTGCTGAATGACCGCTGATGTCTGATTATTTAGTTGCACCTCTAAAATTAAGACGATGAATAAAGTAAAAAAAAAGCAGGAGAGAAGGACAACCAAAAAGACTGTGTTGTTCAGATTCTCGCATTCTGCTTTCGTCGAGGAAACCCATCATTAAAAAATCCGCGAAGTGCTCACTTGCACTTTTTTTTCTAAGTGACTCCCTGGCAAAAATTTCTAAATTTAGAAATTTCTAATTTCTAAAATTTTATTTCTGATTATACGACAATACGACAAGTGTAGTGAATTAATTGATTTTAATGTTTTTTCAATACAATGAGTGAAAAAATTTTTCTATAGAAGGTATAAAAAATTCTTTAGAAAATTTTATAGTTTCTATGATATAATTCAATAATCTGATTAATTTCTAGCGCTTGAGAGTACTTAACATGAGCAAAATTTCCTCTCACATTGTACAGTTTTGCTTCTGAAATATAAACGACAAATTTCATATATAAACTGTTTGACAGCCTTATACTTAACGTCTTTATTTATTTATTCCAGTTATAGGTTAGATTATTTACTCAACACTGCTATCAAAAATTACCTGCCGCACATCGTAAATTAATCATATTCATTGCTTCTTCGTATGTAGGTAATGAATCTACTCGAAGAATTGTCGGTTCGTTAACACAGTTAGAATATAAGGGTGGTTGCGTCACTCGTTTATAATATGGGAGATCGGTGACAACTGTTGTAATCAGTCTTAAACGAAGGAGTATTTTAAAAATTAATGAACGAATAATAAAAATAGTAAGCTAGCTGTATCACTGCGAGAATATTCTTGCAATCAGTTTGATCTAATTCGACTACATTTCAATTTGATGAAAATAGGAACAAATATTTACTTAAGTTCAATGATGTTTGAAACTAAAGCAATAATAATCCATATATCTTTGCGTTTAAATAGAGTTTCACCGCGTCCCAAGCATTCTTCAACTATATTACACGTTAGAACCAATTGAAACACAACGAACACAGTCTCAAAAAATAATTTTCCGCAATACATAAAGAATACATTATTTATTAAACAGATTTCTATATTTTTTAAAATTCTTATCAGTGTTTCATTTTATTTTCTATCAATTAGATTTCTAATTTTACTACAACATTTAGCACAAATTTTTCAATTTTTTAATATTTTTTAATATGATTTATTAATTGCCTTTTTCGCCATAAAAGTATTTTGTTTAAAAAACCGTCCAACGATCGAATGCCCTAGAAGAGCTTTCACCTTAGCACTGAAGAATATGAGCACACTGTTTGAAGGAAAAAATGAAGTTTGGATAGGCAATAGATAATAGATATAGACAGATAACAACAATAAAAATTATTATAAATGCTAAAGTTTATCAACATTTGTAATTCATCGTTATCAAAATTATCGATGAGCTTTTAGCAAATACTCACTCCTTTTGTACACTGATAATAAACTATAATAGCAAAACCTTAAAAATTATTAGAGCAAAAAGTGAATTTTCCTTAAAAGGCAAAAAATAAAGATTTACCATATAGATGAGACCTGCAATTAACAACCTTCGGATGCACAGAATAATTCCAAGTGTAACAACAAAAGCGGCAAGAAGATTAGTAAAAGCCAATAATTGAATTCCCAGCAAATTTTGAGATGCAATTATTAATGATATGCATGAAGCAGTATTGAGCAATGCAAACGAGCATAATAATATACGTTTCTAAAGAAATACTGACCTGAAATCGCTTTTGAAAAAAGATTTATTATTCCTTTCAACTTTCAATGCCAAACCATGAAGCCACGAAAAAACAAAGAAATCAGAAAAAAAGTTTTTAGGTTAAGATTTTCAAATTTCATCTGATATTTGCAAGGAAATGAAGTTAACATCGATTTTGCTTGATTATTCAGGCAAACGTGCATTTTCTTCGGCCAAAATGGGCCACATTATGGGTTTTTTTGTTAGGAATTTAGCAAGGAATTTTTATAGAAGTAATCATGAAAATATTATAAAAATAGGTCACCTTTCGAAATGGTATATTCCAATGATTTTCATAATCGTTGAGTTGTGAATGGAAATTTGAATATTGTAGCATTTGGTCCATTAAAATTCTTTCTGAGCTGCATGCAGCAATCATTCTTCAGTCTTAGAAATTGCAAATTTTTCGAATCTCGTGTTTCTCCTGTGGAAATTTAAAAATAATTAGGAAAAATTGAAAAATAAAATTCATAATTGACAAATAATAAAATTGGAATTGAACTGATTCGCTTAGTGCAAATAAAGATAAAATTCCTTATCAATGTTCCAATCAATACACTGCATTTTATAATACAACTATTATTCGAGAAATGGCGAAATGATCTGAGATGGTAATCGTCAAAATCCGCGTAATGAAGCAAATCTGAGGTTAAATTTAAATTTAAACACGATGTACTAACTGGCTCTAAGCATAAATGAAACGCTTATCAAGTCATAAATCTGCAATTGCATGCCAAAAAATTACTCCAATAGAGCAAGAAATAATCAAGGCCAACAAAACTTCTGAAGAAGACAATCTTCAGGCTGAAATCTTTATATGTTGTCCAATACCTTTTACCTTCGACGAATATATTCGGTAAGTGGAGAAAACGATCCTGCTTCAAATCCCAAGAAGGATGGCAAGATCGAGAAATTGACCTACTAAATATCTTTGAGGAAATATGAAGCAGCAGGACATCCCAGTCCAAGCTAGATTCAGCCGCAGTGTATTAAATATTCACGCTGTGTTAGAACATCACTTCATATCTGCAATCCTCATTTGTTTTACTGATTTTGCTACTATTATCTTCAATTCATAGAGCTCTAAAAGGTGATGGAATACAGGAACCCAGTCCTTTTTGGAGAATATTGACAAGTGCAGCAAAAACTGTATTCAATATAAATAATGAATAGACAAAGTCTTTTATAAGCCTTTTATACCAGACGTCGATGAATGCTTTTTCACCATGGTTCACCACAGATTGAGGAAGTGATAGACTTAAATACCTTGGATTCACTCTTATACCAACTGGCTTAGCGAATATTGAAATACAGATAGCTAGAAATATTCTTTCATCTGAAATCTATGAAAGTGCAGCTATCAAAAATCGCCATCAAAATAAAAATTTGCATCTGTAGTTCGTATCCAGCTATATTACATATACAACTTATATATGTTATATATACAACTTCAAAATATGGCCAATATTAGTAGAAGATATTAAGAAGCTATCTATCCTTAATCACTAATGTCTAAGGCACCACTGCATTCAAATATTATTCGTAAATATCTGCATCCATAATATCGTCAAGGAGAGTTGCTGGTTAGACCACGTTCTTCGTCGACTATCGCGAACTTGGCTCTCGCTGTAAGGGATGAAAATAGTCAAGACTTGGAATGATACAGTCAGAAGAAATTTTAAAAGCAATACAGCGATATATTATCTTAAGCTTAGACAACGGAAAAAGAAATGAGGCTTCTTTCAATCTCAAATATCGGATCGAATGGCTTGGAAACAATCAACAAAGTTAGGAAATTTAGCTTAGCGAATAATTATGGTACGACCTTTTAGAAGAGGAAAAAGAATCAGTGCATTGTAGAAATAAATTTATTTATTTATTGATAACCAACCAAGCAGGGCGACAAGGCCATGTGCTTGTATTAATAATAACAATTAAGATAACAGAAAAAGAAAACACAAAACAACAAAAAAAAAAAAATATATATATAACATAAACAAAATTAATTATAAAACAATATGACAGAAATTAACAATTTAAAGAGGAAATTACAGATCAATATAATATAGTACAATTCGAAGTAACATATATAACCTGAAGATAAAATCGAGATTTCTCACTTCCTGCAGTTCTTGCCTGGTGTAAAATCTTCTCTTTTTTTTTTTTTTAAATATCGTAAATGATATTATCTAGTCTTTTTTAAAGACAGCTAAGGATGACGCACAAGCTACATCGTTCGGTAATTTCGTTCCAGTAGTTATTAGTACGAATAAAGAAGTCATGAGTCCTTAGTTTTGCATATAGGTTTTAGTAATTTTAAGCCATTAGTTCTTGTTGGATTCAAATTTAGTCTAAAGTTATAATATTTCGAGCAATCTAGTTTAACATAACCATACAGAATCTTATATGTGTAAATTAAATCTTGTTTAATTCTACGAACTGAGAGAGAATCCATGTTATGTTGTAGAAGTGTTCTTTTATAATTAAAATTATAATTTTTATTAGGAGAGAGGCGTCTTAGAAAATATTTTTGGAGTCCTTCGATTATTTTGCCTGTTTTGCGATGTCTAGGGGAGTAACATATAGTATTGTAGTCAAGAAGAGGCCGAACGAATGCTTTGTATAATTTGATAAGAAAACTTTCAGTTTTGTTCTTAAACGAACGAAAAATAAAATTT